CTCAGGCTCAGTGTGGGTAGGTTGGAAGAAGCCTGACAGAGGTGCCAGCCTTTGATCTGAGTCTTGAAGAAAGAAGAAAAAATGCTAACCATCCTTAATTCTCTCCTGGGCTACTGCAGTAACTTCCGAAACGATGACCCTGCTTCAACCATTGTCTCCTTATGATCCGTTCGTCACACAGCAGCCAAGGTGATTTTTTAAAAGCATGTAAATTTGATAAGGTCATTCCCCTGCTTCACATCCTTCAAGAGCATCCCTCTGCGATCAGAGCAAAACCCAAGCTCCTTACCAGGTCCTTGAAGGCGCTCCATAATCCACTCCCTGCCTGGCTTTCTGTTATCATTTCCTGTGTTGGCTACATTCCACTGACGCTCCTGACCCCTGAGCAACCGACAGTCACTGCTTCCCGGGAGCCTATGCATGAGTCTTCCGTGGCCGAAAATGCCCTTCCTCACAGATCTTCAAAGCTCTTCGGAGAACCCTGTCCCAACTTTCTAATCAAAATTACCTTTTTCTTTCCCTAAGTTGCTCTCTAATGCATTACCCTATTCGATTTCTCAAAGCACGTGTTATTGTCTGAAGTTATCTCGTATGTAGGCTTATTTACCCATTTACAGACACCGTCTGTCACAAAAAGGGGAGCTCCTTGTCAGCAGAAGTTGTATCTATCTTGTGCACTTACTTAATGCCTGGCAGATAGTAAGCACTCGAGTATTTTTTAATTTTTTTTTTCAACATTTATTTATTTTTGGGACAGAGAGAGACAGAGCATGAACGGTGGAGGGGCAGAGAGAGAGGGAGACACAGAATCGGAAACAGGCTCCAGGCTCCGAGCCATCAGCCCAGAGCCTGACGCGGGGCTCGAACTCACGGACTGCGAGATCGTGACCTGGCTGAAGTCGGACGCTTAACCGACTGCACCACCCAGGCGCCCCATCGAGTATTTTTTGAATGAATGAATGAATAATAGAACAGCAGAACGCCCAGCCCCAAAGGTTAGATGAATGCCCCAATCCACCAAACCCAAGGGCCTAGGTCTGCTTTTGTTGCTGTTGTTGTTGTTTAGGTGTAGCTCCCTCACCCACAAAGTACTGAGTTTAAAACAGTGACTGTCTTGAGCAGTATCTCCTAACATAATATCCCTATCTCCACTGCTAAGCACCACGTTCTGAATCAAAAGAAGTAGCCATTTGTGACCGACTAGGTGTTTCCTAGCACCCGGAGATAGGCACCAGATGTCTGAGGATTGAAAAGAGAAGAAAAGAAAAGAAAAGAAAAGAAAAGAAAAGAAAAGAAAAGAAAAGAAAAGAAAAGAAAAGAAAAGAAAAGAAAAGAAAAGAAAAAAGATACAGAGGAAGCAACTTCCTCAGGAAGCCATAGGAGGCCCTGGGGCCCTCAGATAGAATCAGCCATTAAAGACGACAACAGAAGGACACCATCAGACCAGCACGGCAGAGAAGCCAGCCCATTGCACGGCTAGGACCGTTAGCCCTAGGAACTACAAGAGACACTGGAGAACACTAATATGAAACACTCAGTGCCTATCACTTCCTCAGTTTATGACTTCTAACTTCATTTCACCCCTTTTCTGTTGGCAAGTGTATATACAGTAGTGACCATACAACCATGATCATCATCTATAGTCTTGGGGTAAGAGCTTGAGATATCAAGAGGGCCAAGCCAATGAGAGATGACAAACGTCTTTATCCAAAGGATTCCGTGAACTAAAATGCAGACGTTACATACTGCGGAGAAGTTACAAAACCCATCGTAGGCAAGGCTCGTAAGTAGAACTTACATTTAGGCATGCAGTTGTGTAGATCCTACACTGGAATGAAACCAAATGGTTTCACTATGCAAGCGTTATACCGAAATGTGATTTCTGCCACTGGTGCTCATCACCAGGGAACAACAGCACCCTGGGACAGGAAATGAGAGAGAACAGTTGATGCCAACAAGGCATGACATCTCAGCTCTTCTTGTACTGATATCTTGTCATCTAAACTTTCATTAATTCAACATTTCACCAGATGTGCCTACCACTGTGCCTACACAAGCCAAAATTAATCCCTGTAATAAATCCCTTGAAGAATCTGCAATCTAGCAGGGTGGAAAGAAAGAAACACCCAGCAGCTGTAAAAGAAGGCAATCTCGACTACAGCTTAGAGGCTATATAGGCAGCCTCTAGACACAGGTCCCAGGACTCTTTCCTAAAGAAGGTAACGATGACCTTGAGGGACGGATAGCACCTTTCTGCAGACACAGACCACCGGAGATAGAACAGCCTAAGTAAGAGGGTGCAGGGAGAAGAACGTGGACTCAGGAAACAACAGCATTACAGTCCGGGGACAGATGGGGCTGTGTGAGGGCTGGGAAGGATCGCTATCTCTTCAATTAGACTTTAAGTCAAGGACAGAGCACTTTTCTTCTCCCCTCCTTCCGTATTACCCGAGACCTAATCCTCTATGTGTGGTAGGCTCTAAATTATCTTCACTAAATAAATAAGAAAATTAACCCAGAGAGGAAAAAAAGTGAAATAAATTCACTTCGAAGTTGCTGCTGTTCTTGGATTGTGTAATAATTTGGGTCATAGTAGAAGTGTGCACACCCTCAGTTATAGGGAGATACTTGTACCAATCACCTCACTAACAGTACAGGAGCATGTAAGGAAAGTGCACATGGCCAAGAGTGGGTAGGGGTGGCACAAACATGTGTCAATCTGCACATGTGGAAGGCTGCTGGAGACAGTTGTTGGGCCCAATACTCTGGATGCTAGAAAAAGGAGAAAACTGATCTATAAATCAATCATTCTAGTGCTATAATCGCCAATGCAGAGCTAAGACTCTTGTGGTGTCATTCCAGAAAGCTATCGGTACCTAGAAATACAACTGTTTTCTGTTTTCATTTTTTAGAAATACATCCAGTGAGTATTTAAAATATTATTTTTAATTGATCATGAGGGAGTTGTAGCATGGTACTGTATAAAAAAAAAAACACACTACGTCAGGAGTCAAGAGACTGAATTCTGCTCTGCCACTAGCTTGCTGTGAAGCTGCAGACAAGAAGAAGCTTAACCTTCCTGAGCCTCTCCTGGTATCCCCGTGTCTTACACCTTCTCAGAGCCTTACTCTCTGCACTTACATCTGCTGCTAACATGTAGATCCCCCTTACCACTTTCACCGGCCTTTTGGCTAATGATACCTAAGATACCTTCAGTTTCTAAAACGTCCTCTGGTGCTTTTTTATGACGTCATCTTCAGGTTTGTGGTCAAAGCCTTGAGGAAAGCATCTTCTTAAATGAATCTAGCAACACACAGTTTCCAAAAGCCACTTTGAAAGCATTAGTCATTAGTACAACATAATTAGCAAACAGTTAAGGATTAGAACACAGAAATCAAACATTTAAAGAGCTCAGGGATTGCCCAATCATAGCACATATATTTGTCTTATATATATTTTGTTAGGCATCATAAGTCCCTTACAAATCACATATAAACACTCTTAAATATGTATACAAATGGGTACGTGTGCTCACACACACACACACACACACACACACACATACACACAGTCTAAAGATTACTCTGAAGACAAAAGGACAGCTATTTATGAAGTTTCATCGAAGATCTAAAGCCCACTACTTTAAATGCAGTAGCACCTGTAGCAACAAGCTTGAAATTCACAAGTTAGTGTGAATTTCACCCTTATATTTTTATCAAGGACGCCTGCCTAGTAAACACAGTAAGCTTAATTCCTACTTATCAGCATTTAGTGATTTCTTTAGGCTAATCCATGGCTATTGTTCACAGAGCTCTAATGTTCTTCCCTGATGCAGAGATCTGGTTCTCTGTAGTGTTTAGATATTTTATTTTTATAATTCTGTATTATCTATTAAATATGTACTCAGGCATACCCATATATTCAGACTCATATACATATACCCACAGAAACCTACTCTAAGTAAATATCCAAGAAGACATATCCCTAATACGGGCAGGGGAGAAAGAGAGGAAGGTCATTCCATTTATAAACAGTTATGTTTATAAACTGTTAGGAACACTCAACACGTAAGCACTATCAACCAAAACCTAACCGTTAGAATAGTCTCTTGTACATTTTGTTTTGAGTTATTTTCCCTCCATTCTGGTCTACCTCTGCCAACAACAGAAGCCAGATGACATGACTAAGTGACATCAGCTCTCAGTATTTCTGATGGGCAACTTAAAGATCTATGACGACTGACATAACTCCTCTGTCACCAGGACCCAAGAGCAATCACACTAAAAGCAAGATCTGTTTTTGCACAACTGGGGCAGAAAAGAGAGAGAGAGAGACAGACAGAGCTGGGAGTCTTACTGCACCAAATGTGAATGATTAGTGTGTAATGCAATGCTGATGTTAATTTTTAAGAAGAAAGGTAAAGCAAGCGGCTTACTAGAATGTAGTAATAAAGAGACATGTCGCAAGAGGAACTGGAGCTAAAAGTGAATCAGACGTGAATTCTGTCTGCCCAACGAGCCGCTCAGTGACCTTGCCTTATACCCACCGATCAAGGCTTCCTGTTAGCCCTGGGCAATTTTCAGGCAAACTGAATGAAATAGTTATACATGTAAGAAATTTAAGCCCAAATCTGAGACGGTAAAACTAATCTTCTATAGTGAGGGTGTGAGGTTATCCCCTGCACTAGCCGGGCACAACACAGAAACTCATAACAAACATTCTCCCGGAGAACATAGTCGTTACCATCCACTATGTTGCACACTGACATCGCCAAGAAGTGCAACATCAGCAGAAACTTCCCCCAGGTTTTATCCCAAAGTTACTGAACGTTGGAATTTTTTTTTTTTTTAATCAAAAAGGTCAGTCTCTTCACATCTTGATTCTTTAATAATAAGCCATTTCACAGCCCAGGAGTATTGAAGTGAGTACATCTCGTGTGGTAGCCCCTCACCCCCAGCCTGCCGGACTGTGTGCAAGTGAAACCTAGGAGTCTGTCTTACCTGTAATCTGACTCTGTCCTTGTGGATTAAAAGGACTTGGTGCAGAGTTCAGGGAGGGCCGTGGGTTCTGAGGCGGGACACCTACTCTCATACTGGGATGAGGAATGCGCCCTAAATCACTGAGGCGGTCAGAGAACAAACTAGGTTTAGAGTCATCAAGCTTCTGTCTGTGCCCTGGAAACAGCAAATCATAAAATAAAAGCATATTAATGAGCTGAACAATTGACCATACTAAATAGATATGTGAACATACATACTGGGGGTTTAAAGCCAAGGGATTATCAATACTGGTATTTATAAGGAAGTATCTCTACAATGCCTTCCATTTCTAGTGGCTTTCTAAGCATCATCTGGTGTGGAGCATTCCTAGTTCTGTGCTACAAAAGGAGAGCTGAGGGTTCCCGAGGGTGACTCGGAGCTGACACCAGGACTGGCACTCAGGAAGGGCTGTCTGCGTGCCTCGTCCAACCCTCTGAGCGAGGGTGGGAAAGGTGAATGCGTTCTGGGCTATGTTCGCTTACTTTGTGAAGGAGGAAACTTCCCGCAAGTTCAGAGTCTGTGCATGTCACACATATTATCCCAAAACTGGGGCAGAAACAGAGACAAACATTTGTCAAGGGGCAATTCCCATGATAACCATAGTGACTTTTCTTTTCCATGTTACAACCAGACCTCACTGAGACTCTCCTGAAAAATTAAAACTCAAACCTAGAACCCCTTTCAGAGGAAAAAGTGGAAATACGGTCAAGGAAATGCAGATTCTCAAGAGGAATCTGGGTATTTTGTGACACCCCCAAAACCTCAAAGCATGTAATAAACTATGTGAAATCTGACAGAATGCTTTCTTCTATTTTAAATCTAGTACTACGGTTCTGTATAAGAAATGGCAAAACACCCTCTGGGTTACCACGTGAATGTGAGATTCCACTATTAACACAAAACAAAACATAACTTTGTTTCGCCTCTAGTTTATTCAAGTCTCAAATCGAAGGAAATTCTAGATAATAAGGAAATACGCCCGCTAAAATATAACTCAGGTTCTAAGGCTTTTTGAAAATCATGAAAAATGGGGCGCCTGGGTGGCGCAGTCGGTTAAGCGTCCGACTTCAGCCAGGTCACGATCTCGCGGTCCGTGAGTTCGAGCCCCGCGTCGGGCTCTGGGCTGATGGCTCGGAGCCTGGAGCCTGTTTCCGATTCTGTGTCTCCCTCTCTCTCTGCCCCTCCCCCGTTCATGCTCTGTCTCTCTCTGTCCCAAAAATAAATAAACGTTGGAAAAAAAAAAAAATTTAAAAAAGAAAATCATGAAATCATTTGCAGCAAAGAGTGGAGTATGGGCTTGGTGCAAGTGTAACAGAACAGCGTGTGAGACTTGGTGCCACGTAAGTTAAGTGCACATCTGCAGAGTGGTGCCGAGGTGAACGAGCAGGGTAATGCCTCATACACGAACAGAAACATACTGTAGATTCCTTTTTCCATATTCTGTACCAGAATGAGGCCTGAGTATGTCGCCCTAACATACTGTAACTGAAACCGAAGCAGATTCAAAGAAGAGCCATTAAGATGATGACTGGGGGCGCCTGGGTGGCTCAATCAGTTAAGCCTCCAACTTCGGCTCAGGTCAGGATCTCACGGTTCGTGAGTTCGAGCCCCGTGTCGGGATCTGTGCTGACAGCTCAGAGCCTGCAGCCTGCTCCGGATTCTGTGTCTCCCTCTTTCTCTGCCCCTCCCCTGTTCACGCTGTCTCTCTCCCTCTCTCAAAAATAAATAAACATTAAAAAAAAATTTTTTTAAGATGATGATTGGAATCAGAATTTGCCCTTTGAAGAAAAATTAAGGAAATTAGGATTATTACCCACAAAAGAAGAAAACCTGGAAGGAGGATTATTAAGAGCTTTCAAGAATCAGGAGGTATATTCTACGGGTAGCGAGAATACCTTATCTTCCTCTCAGTACGAGAGGACAAGAGGAATATATCAGGATAGGGTTAAGTTGAACGTTAGAATTTCCCAACTATACGCTGTCTTCATAAGACAAATTCCTTATTTTATTTGCCCCAAAATGTATTTTCCTGTCTCCTTTTTCATTGCCTACCCAGCCCAAAGAAAACAGACAGGAAGCCAAGGCTTGGTAATATGAGTTTAGCTGTCTCCACAGCCAAACATATTCCAAATAGGCCCATTAACTGAAATGGACCCACCACCCTATTTCCTGCCAGTTGGGGCATCTGCTATAATGAGGGACTAAGACCAGGAGAAAAGTGATCAAGAAAATTCTCTGTGCGTGGATGGGTGTTTTCCTTGTTGTTCAGAACTTCTTATCCGGATTATGAACAGATTTTAGAACTCTACAGGGCCTTTCGAGATTGGCCCAAACAGCTCCTGGAGCCCAGCAAGCAGGGTATATCACAGACAAAGCGACGAAGGCCTACAGAGGTACCACCACTAGCCTGTGGTCTTCAGCTATTGGCTGGTTTGGCCTGGAAGAGGATCACAGTTCTCATCCTAGCTGACAACGCTTTCCACTCATCACGTGGCCCCATCAATGCTGGCATTCTAGATTTATCTTCCCTTCCTCTCACAGCTGCTGTGGTGGACTGAAAATATCCAGATCAACAGAAAGAGACACCTACGAGCTACGCCCCACGTGGTACCACGGCTGGTTTTCAACGCAAGCAGAAGCAGCAGCAAGGATCCAATTACAAAGTTAATAGCTCACCCATTACCCTAAACAAACTTCCATCAATACATCTTGCTGTGTCTAACTAGTTTGACAATTAGGGAATTATACAGTACTTGCCACAGTTGGATCCATGGATTCTGTTCCTCACATACATACAAAAAAAAAAAAAAAAAGCATTGGTGTGGTGTTGATACAGCTGTAAACATTAACAAGAAAGCTTATGGAATTGTCCCTGGAAGTTATTTTTTTTAATAGGCCATATTTTTGGAATGGCAGATTCCCTGAGGGCTAAGGGGAGGGCTACACGATCTTGCCCGGTTCCTTTAAACACTGGGACTTTATGTGGGCTATGGGTCGCAAGAAAACTTAATAAAGCTTTGCCTCCGCTTTCTACAGCCTTTTCATTAGGCTTTCATGGAGACTGTAGGAGATGTGAGCTCAGCATTTGGACGTGTCAGTTCACTTTGTATTTTCTCTTAGCCCAGTGCTTCGGGGGGGAATCGTAGGAAGTTGGAGGCAAGAATACAGAGAGGACTCGCAGCATCGCTGATCAGTATGAAAACTGGAGGAGCAGGTGAAATTTTAAAAGCCTCAATGGCCTTCTGGAAATCACCTTCACACGAGAGCTACCAAGGATCTACAGACACCCAGAGTAATTCAGGGAGCACCTATCTGTGGCTGCGCATGTACAAAAACACATACACGTTTCTCCTTGCAGATGCCTGCCCCTTTGTAGCTACCACCACAACCACAACAAAATTCTTATAGGACGATGAAGAACAAAAGCTGAACAGGTTCTTCATCTTTCAACCATGACAAATACCGGCTACCGCTAAACCACATCAGGGTTAACATGCGAACGATGGGCTGCAAGAAGACGTACTGAAATCCTCCACACTCAGGCAGTCCCTTAAGAAATCGAGAACACGGAAGACAAGGGCACATCGAGTTAAAGCAAAGACAGGGTCCTCTGCCGTGGTACGGGGAGAGCTGAGCCTCATCCAAAGGGCCAAAGAGCGGGTCCTCCAAATAGGAGGAAAGCATAAAGAATGCAAAACTGTTGTGTTCTATTTGAGACTGTGTGAAAGCTCGGTCACGGATCGTCTTCTCTACCTGTACTTTCTCCATCGAGCAGTGGTTCCTCCACTCCAGCAGGATTAAGAAAACCCTCCAAGGAGCTTTGAAAAATATAGATGTCCAGAACGCACATCAGCTCCATTAGATCGGAATCTCTGAGAGCGGGTCCTGGGGAGTTCTTTTGTAAGATCACTCACAATCCGATGGGCAACTGAGGTAGAGAACCACTGCCCAAGGTGACCTCACAATCTCATGCACTCGGTGCCACCTATTTGTGCCGGGGACTCCCCATTTCTGAGGTAAGCCCTGACTTCTGTCCTGAGTTCCAGGTCTGTGTGTCCCACTGTCTACCTGACTCTCCCCTGGGATGTCTACAAGATATTTAAATGTGGTATACTTAAAACAGAATTCTTGACTCTTCTCACCAGCGAACCCCATTCCCCTCTCAGAGTACCCTCATCTCAGTAAGTGGTTCCAGCCACTCCGTCACTGCAGCCAAAAACCTAAACATTTCCCTTGATTTCCCCTTACCCCTCACGCCCCACATTCAATCTATTACCACATCTCGTCATTTCCGTCTTGAAAGTGTATCTCAAATCCATTCAGTTCTCTCATTTCTACTGATACAGCCCTAGTCCAGGACCCCACCACCTTTCCCTGGGCATCTGACACTGAATCCTTTGAGTTTCCCATCCCAGGACCTCTCCATACTCCTGAAATACTCTCCCCCTATTTCTTTGCCCACTCCTTCTTATCCCTTAGGCCTCACAGTGAACACCACCTCCTATGAGAGGTCTTGTCTGCCACAATAACCAGAGTAGGTCCCCTCCTTCTAGAGCACACCCTCCATTTATTTCCTTTATGGCTATTACCACAATCTGTACTTATCTCGCGTACTTATTTGTCTCGCCTGCAAGATATGAACCCCGTGAGAATAAGTGCTCTGTCTTGTTTAAAGTTGGATCTCTACAACCTAGTCCAGTGCCTACCATATAGTAGGTGCTCAACAAATATTTAGGCAACGAATGAATGAACGTGAATAGTCTCTCCTCTTTTAGATAAACGTCCAGGTTGAGAAAAAATTTTCTGCCCCGGCATATCATATTACAATGCTATCTTTCCCCCCCAAAAAACCCTTCTCTTATCTGATAACCTAGGGAATCCAGCGGGCAAAGCCTTTCTTTAGAGCCTAGCCCTTCTTGGTGCTTGCTCAGAAATTTCCCTAAAGGACGTGCATTTTAAGGGAATGCCCGATTGGTTCCTTGCTTTCTGAAAAAGTCCCGTTTGCTCTCATTATAATTCTTCAGCATTGTTGCAAGTCATTTAGAATCAAAGAGCTGAAAAGGACAAGAGAAATCATTTTGACTCTAAATTTCTGAGTGACGTACTTCTTTTATGAATGAGGACCCTGAATCCCT